CCCCAAAACCCCAAAACCCCAAAACCCCAATTAAAATACTTTTTATTGAAACACACTATTTGTATTCAAGGGAAGCATTGAACTTTTGAGCATCGTTGTAATGAGTTACTTTGATATCTAGTGATGGATATGAAGATAAGAGATAAGACTCAACTTGAGAAAGAACAGTAGGATCTGTAAATGGCATTCTTCCATCAAAATCTCCCTCAAGTACGTCATAATCAATATCCTTAAAGCACACATAACATGAGACCATTGAATCTTTGACTCAATTGAGATCACCAAAATATGAAAGCTCATCATTAATATTGTCGACTGTTAATGTAAAGTCCTCGTCTTGTTGTTCCTGTCCTTCCTTCCAATTTACTTCTGATGTACAAGGGTTACCCCATTGTATCCATATCACATGAAGAAAGTCTTCTTCATTATCTTCACCTGTAAAGCTCTCTTTGAAGTTCCAAACACGGCCTGTCTTAATGCTTAGTAAGACTCTGTTCTTTTCTTGTCCGTTGACTCCCATTACTAATTTAAAAGTTGGCTCTTTCTTGGGATCTGATTCAGCTGAAGCTTCTGTCTTTACTTCTCTATAAAGATGAAAATGATTGATTACTCCTCATTCTGCTTCTTGGATTGCTTCTTTGACTTATTTTTCTTCTTAGATTTTCCGGTCGAACTCTCTTTTACTGCAATAACATTTTCTTTATGCTTAGTCATAACCATGTAGGCCAGTCCAGTCATGTAAGCATCAAATCCAGCATCATGAGCTTTCTCTCCTAGCTCTGAGTTGGCCATCTTGTAGCTGATTTGCTGCTGGAGAGTCTCGTCTTTAGAGCACATTTTATATAGTGATTCAAGATCCGTTCTTCTGAATATCTTTAGCTTTGACTCTAAAGCAATAACTTTGGTGTCATAAGTAGCTGGGAAGCATTCTCTCCATTTCTCTGTATACTCAAGGAAAGTATTAGGCAAAGGTGCAATGAACTGATCATAGAAGAAACCCATGTCATAGATCAGGTTATGGCCAACTAAAGGTTTCTTGGCATCTATAATTTCTTGGACTATCAAGGAGAATCCCATTTCTATCTCTAAACTCTTGTCTGCAAGATCTATGAATTAGTTGGATGAGATACCTTCTAAAACTTGCTCATTTTCTTCTGTTTTCTTCTCCTCTTCGACTTCCTTTGGTTCCTCTTTTTGCTCTTCAGCGTTAATTTTAGCAATTTTTGCTAATTCTATGTATTGAGCATATAATTTTTACCTTTAAATTTCTTGCTTTTCTTGATTTTCACCTCAGTCTTTGAATTGGAATATTCAACTTGCATTCCAGGGAATTTGGCCTGCACATTGTTATAGATCTCTTGTCTCAAACTCTGAGATGCAATGTCAATTTTAAAGAAATTTTGTCCTACAAATTAGACAGGTTGGAGGTACCTGCAGTGTCATTTTCTGGATCGATGAACTCTTTCGTTTGTTGGAGAACTAAATTAAGGGTTAGTATTGAAAATTAATTCGTAGGCTCACTTTCTTTGAGCTTTTTCTGATTAGCTTTCGAGAGCCTCGTCTGATCCCTCTTATGATAAACTGTCCAATCCTGCTGGTTCTTCTTTATAATAGCTTTTCTAATCTTTTCCTTCTCTGATAACTTCTGGTAAGTTATTCCATCCTTGTGTAATTTATCAAAATCGAAGCCATGCTTAGAGAGGAAATAGAGGCAGTCTGCTCTTACGCTGAACACTCCATCAAACATCTGGCTGTAATTTAGGATATAAAAAGTATATGGATGTGCAATGTAGGTTTGCTCTTCTTCGCTCCAGATAAACATGCAAAGTCCCACTTGGTTTGCTTTGAAACGCTGACAAACATACTTTAGTTTCTACACCATTAAGCTTTATTTATACCTGATATCTATCCTCAATAGTATCATATGAATGACCTCTATCCTGAAGACAGGCTGAATACCCTGTAAACTCAGTATCCATCGCTATGAAATCACTTTTATGAATCAGTTCCTTGATTTCCCCAAACTTTTCTTGCAAATTATGCTTCGTAATCTCCATTTATGATCTACCACAACAATTATTATACTTAACCCCCAATTAGCCACTCATATGAAGGGGTTTTGGGGTTTTGGGGTTTTGGGG